TCTGCTATGTAAACTCTTTTCCACACACCCACATCCTCACCACCATTGGATACTATCCATTTTTAAAATTTTTGCCAATATCCTGCATGAAAATGCTTCTTCTTATCATGTGCCCTACAAGTTTTTATACAAGGGAAATTTGATATACTCCTTTAGCCAACTGACCTTGGGACCAAGGAATCTTGGGATTAGACAGTCTAAATCCTTATCCTGTGGCAACATAGCAAGGCGTCTTCCTCTTGCTTACATACTTCTGGGGGTGAGTGTTGCACCTCCTCTTGATAAAGCCCTTTTCATCTTTGGATAGGCTAGCTCTGAATGTAAGAAAGTTCTTCCTGCGGAGGTATGGTACCAAGGAAGAAGGATGGCTTAGGAGTCTTTTTTTTCTTTTTTTTTTTAATGGGCTTAGGAGTCTTGCTTAGCTCCTTCACTCACTGGCTGTGGACCTTGCGAAAATCGGTTACTTCTCCAAGCACTTGTTTCCTCATCTTTAATGTGAATGGGAAAATACTTACTTACAGGATTGTTGCAAGGGATAAAAGCAATATATAAAATATGCCCAGCATAGGGCCCAGCCCATCATGGGTATACAGGAAGAGATATTTGTTAGTTTTTGGTACTTTGCCCTTTCTTCTTTGAGTTAATATCTTTCTTCCTGGGTATTCTCCTGTTTCATTCTTGCTCTGTCCTCTACAGACATAAGGTTAATTCTCCTCCATCTTCCACATGACCACCTTCTTTCTCCTCTCCAGCAGAAACTATGCCAGGGCCTTCCTATGTGTTTCGAATGACATAGTAGCACACTTCAAACTCCCACAGCATTCTGGTCCCCATCCCTGTCCTCTCCACCACCAAGCTGGAAGCATTGTGGTTTGTAAAAGCCCTGAAATGTTGCGTCCAGGGGCCAAGCTGTTTTAAGTATAAACACACACCTACCTGATAAAAATATCATGAGCACACTGGCCCTCCATATCCTTATATCTATTTATTTACAAATCATATATACATATATTTCTGTATTGTGGAATATAACCAAAACCAAAAACCCGTTGCCCTCAAGTCTATTCCAACTCATAGCGACCCTATAGGACAGAGTAGAACTGCCCCATAGGGTTTCCAAGGAGCAGCTGCTGGATTCGAACTGCCAACCTTTTGGTTAGCAGCCAAGCTCTTAACGACTGTACCACCAAAAACCCCTAAAAGGGCTTCTAATTGTCTATCGTTAATTTTAGTGAAATTCATTTCAATATAACTGAAAACAGCATACTAGTTTTTCTTCATGTTCTTGTTGGATACATACTTTGCTAATTGTGATGGATTCATTCTATGAGTTATCTTTTAATAATAGTTGATATAAAACTTGGTTTCATGTTCCACATCACAATTTGGTGAGTAGTGTCTGGTGGTATAGTGGTTAAGAGCTATGGCTGCTAACCAAAAGGTTGGCAGTTCGAGTCCACCAGGTGCTCCTTGGAAACCCTATGGGGCAGTTCTACTCTGTCCTGTAGGGTCGCTATGAGTTGGAATCGACTTGATGGCAATGACTTGGTTAGTTGGTTGGTGTCTGGGGTCGTAAAAGCTTGTGAGCAGCCATCTAAGATACAACTACTGGTCCCTACTTGTCTGGCGCAAGAGAAAGAAGGAAACCCAAGGCTCAAAGAAGAAACTAGTCTACAGGACGGTCTACATGAACCATGGCCTCATCAACCCTGAGACCAGAAGAATTAGATGGTGCCCGGCTACCACTACTGATCATTCTGATCAGGGGCATGATACAGGCAGTCCCTGCATTATGAATGGGGTCTGTTCCTAAGTCTGTCTTTAAGGCAAATTGGTAGGTAAGTTGAAACAGGCACCTGACAACAACAGCAGAACAGGTACATACAGTTCCTATTTAGCATCAGTTAGTCAAATGTTTGTCTTAGTATATAGTATATATTTTACCTTTCTATGCATATAGAACACTTAAGAAATGCTTCCAAACCACGCAGTGTTTTCACAAGCATCATGAAGTAGTGCATGCGTTCATTATTACAAACCATTGTATGTATTTGACTCAAATTTTTAATATGATAGGTTTTATAGCAGTCCATTCTTAAGTATGTTGTTGTTGTTAGCTGCCATCAAGTCAGTTCCAACTGATAGCGACCTAGTGCACAACAGAATGGAACACTGCCCAGTCCTGTGCCACCCTCACAATCGTTGTTATGCTTGAGCCCATTGTTGTAGCCACTGTGTCAGTCCATCTCATTGAAGGTCTTCCTCTTTTTCACTGACCCTCTACTTTACCAAACATGATGTCCTTCTCCAGGGACTGATCCCTCCTGATAACATGTCCAAAGTATGTGAGGCGTACTCTAGCCATCCTTGCTTCTGAGGAGCATTCTCGTTGTACTTCTTCCAAGACATCTTAAGTATGAGTTGTTTGTAAGTCAGACATTTGTTACCCAGGAACTGCCTGTAGATGGAGCCTGAAAAAACGGGAGAAAAATGTGGAACAGAACTCAAATGCTTAAAAAGTCCACATTTATTGGACAGGTTGAGACTAGTAGTGGTAGCCGGGCACCATCTAGTTCTTCTGGTCTTAGGGTAGATGAGGCCGTGGTTCATGTAGACCGTCCTGTAGACTAGTTTCTTCTTTGAGTCTTAGGTTTCCTTCTTTCTTTTGCTCCAGACAAGCAGTGACCAATAGTTGTATCTTAGATGGCTGCTCACAAGCTTTTAAGACCCCAGACACGAACCAACCAACCCATTGCCATCAAGTTGATTCCAACTCATAGTGACCCTACAGGACAGAGTAGAACTGCCCCATAGGGTTTCCAAGGAGCACCTGGTGGATTCGAACTGCGGACCTTTTGGTTAGCAGGTATCTCTATTGCCCAGAGATACTCATCAAACCTTTAACTGAAACTATCTCCTAAGGTCACCTTTTTGCTAAATAATGTATTTGCTCACAAAAAAAAGACTAGAACCCATGAGTACTGTGCTCCTTTAAAAAAATCATCTATATGAGACCAAATGGTCAATGATTATTTTTGCAGAGAAAACAAAGTAAAATATACTTATTTTTTAAAGCTATTTCTGTGTTATAAGTTAAAATTGGGTAATATATGGGAAAAAAATGAACCCTGACCCATATCTCACAAAATATACAAAAATTAATTCCAGATGAAAGTTGAAACAATAAAAGTTAATATATGATAATATCATCATGCTCTTTGGTAGACAAAAATTTCTTAAATAGGACACAAAAACACTAACTAAAAAATTGATAAATTGGAAATTAAAATTAAGAATTTCTTTAATCAGAAGAAACCAATAAGGAAGAGAAAAGGTAGGCCCCAGATTGAGAAAAGATATTTTTCAGTGCTGTACATATATCTATCAGAGGACTCATTTCCAACGTATATAAAGAACTCTTACAGATCAATAAGGAAAAGATAGACAACCTAATAGAAAAATGGCAATATACTTCAACATGTCAAAAAAGAGGGTTTTCAAATGTCCAATAAGTATGTGAAAAGGTATTCAGTTTAATTAGTTATTGGGAAAAAGCAAATTAAACACACAATGCAGTCCCACTGCACATGTACCAGAATGGATAAAAGGAAAAGACAGAAAATACCAAATGTTAACAAGGTTGTAGAGCAACAGGATCTTTTGTACACTGCTGGTAGGAGTACAAATTGGCACAATTACTTTGGAAAACTGTTTGGCAGTATCTACTAAATCTGAATATATGAATAGTCTGTGACTAACAATTCTACCCCTACACATAGAACCAGAAAAGGGTACACGTGTATACTGAAAATACATGTCTAATCATGTTTATAGCAGCACTATTTAAAATAGCCAAAAGCTGAAAACAATCCAGGTGTCCATCATCAGTAGAGTGGATAAATAGTGATATGTTTAAACAGTAGAATATTATACAGCAACGCACATGAACAAACTACAACTGCACAATGTTTGGTTAAAATAAGTAAATCTCACAAATATGTTGAATGAAAGAAGCTGGAAGCAAAAGAGGACATATTGTATGAGTCCATGGATATAAAGTTCTCGGGCGAGGCTTGTGGGGTGCTGAAATGTTCTGTATCCTGATCTGGAGGATGATTATACAGTGTGTGTGTATATGTGTGTAGTAAAAACTCAGCAAGCCACACTTATGATTTGTGTACTTTTCTGTAGGTCTATTACACTTATTTAAAAAGTTTACCTCCCCACACCTCCCAAGAAAAACTAGGTAATGTCAGTAAATCTACTTAACTGGACCTTCACGAATTGCAGTAGGTTGCAATATGCTAAAAGCAGATGTGTAGGTGAGGGTGACATTGTCAGCTCTGCCACATTGTGAACCTCCCCCTTGCTGTGGACACCTCACCATACAGGACAGGCGGCCTTCTGACATATGACCTAGTGAGGGGTATGTTACCAGTCTGGAGTGAAATATCAGTAAAGCTTCATTTCTTTAAAATGGAATATATGCAGGGGCTATTGCTCCAGGTGTAATTCTTACAGTGTGCAGGATTAGGAGAGATTGCATTGACAGCTCTAGACTACAAATCTGGCGATGCCAACTGTGACAAAATTTAAGACAGGCAGGATAGGCACTGGACAATAGTGGTTAACAAACTGTAGAGCCAGACAGACCTGGGTTCCCACTTATGACCTCAGTCTTTCTAAACCTCATCTGTCAAATGGGCGTAATAACGGGCGCTAATGACAGGGTTGTGTGAGAATTAGATGAGATATTGCAAGTCCTGTCAAATGGGGATAATAATAAGCACTAATCACAGGGTTGTGTGAAAATTAAATGAGCTATAGCATGTAAAGTTCTTAGCATACCACCTGGTACACAATGAGCATTCAACACACGTGAGATATTGTCAGGATTGGTAATAGTTTGCACTCAGACAAAGCCATGATTTGAGGAAAATGGCATAAGGTCACTGATCCATCCTTTTTTCCATCCCTGATTTTTTTTGACCCTAGGAGAAGGGAGCAGTGATTGACCTTTCCTTCATCTGGCCAAAGATGCCTCTCTTTGGGAATACATTCAGTCCGAAGAAGACGCCTCCTCGGAAGTCAGCTTCTCTCTCCAACCTTCACTCTGTGAGTATCGGGACAATAGCACAGCACGCAGCACGCCTGCAGCGTCAGGCCTGGTCTCTGGTGGAAAGTGTAGTCCTCAAGGCATCCTTTTAACTAATCTCATTGCTATTGCTAAAAACATACTTCTGAACTCCTATTTGGGTATTATTGTCAGAACCTATTGTTCAAGAACCAAATAAGACAGTCAATTTCACTACGGTTTTTGGCCCCAAACAATGTTATCCAATTTGACTTCTACTTTATTCCCAAAGCTTGGCCGGGAATTAATTTTAGTCACTTCCAGGAATCAAATTTATTCTCAAAGGATGATAATTTGACACCACTAAGGGCATTCCAAAGGATATTCCACATCTTCAAAGGCAGTTGCAAAAGATGTTCCAGCAGTGTTTGGAGCAAGGGCAATAGCATTGGGATAAATGATAGCCTTCCAAAGCAACCTACTGTCTATGTGAATGTATAATCTCTATGAATTTTAAAAATTATAAGTTTAAAGTTAGACCACATCCAAATCAATTTCCATTCCCAGTTGTGAGATGGCCTCCCTCCACCCCCGCCCCTTGCTGCACACACACACACAGACACGCACACACACACAGACCCCATGTATGCAATCATACTTTCCTTTTCTGCTGAAGTCTTTGGAGCAGCTGTGACCAGGTACTGGGTACTTCGTCTTCACTGTAATCCTATCTGCCCATCTGGCTCTCACATACCCAGGCTGTCAGTCTGAGCCCAGAAGTCATGTAGCCTGGTTTCCCTGATGTTTTCTGGTAGAGTTAGTCCTTCACAGAAGGTGAACGGGGTGGAGCAGCAGGGCTGTGAGGGCTGAGCATTCACCCAGGCCTTTGGGTCTTTGAGCCCCTAGTCTCTGGTCCCTACTCAAAATCATGGTGGGGGAAGCCCCGCTGTGGCCATGTCGGGCATCCAGTGAAGCAGGCCAGGCAGAGAGGCCCAGGCTCTCAATTTCAGGTCCCCACAGGCCCTGAGGCTCCTTTTCCTCCCTGACGAGCATCAGAGGAGCAGATGTGTCTGATGGTCCTTCTGGGACATCCCATGTCCTAACCGCAGAGTGTAAGAGCAGCAGCATGAAATCAGCCCTCCTCCTGGAGTGTTTTACACGTCCCCAGAGGTAGCTGTGTACCATGGTAGGGAAGAAACCTCCACAGTGCTTTGTATGATAACCAGTGGTTTTATTAGCTCCCCATTACTACAGGGCAAGGTCCTTGATCTTAGTCATCTACTGCTGCTATAACAGAAATATCACAAGTGGATGGTTTTAACAAAGACAAATTTATTCTTTCACAGTCTAGGAGGAGACTAGAAGTCCTAATTTAGGGTGTTAGCTCCAGGGGAAGGCTTTCTCTCTCTGTTGGCTCTGGGGGAAGGTCCTTGTCATCAATCTTCCCTTGGTCTAGGAGCTTTTCAGCACAGGGACCCCAGGTCCAAAGGACACGCACTCCTGGCTCTTCTTGCTTGGTGATATGAGATCCCCCGGTCTCTCTGTTTGCTTTTCTCTTTTATATCTCAACAGAGATTGACTCAAGATACAACCTAATCTTGTAGATTGAGTCCTGCCTCATTAATATAACTGCCTCTAATCCTGCTTCATTAACATCATAGAGGTAGGATTTATAACACATAGGAAAATCACATCAGATGACAAAATGGTGGACAACCACACAATACTGGGAATCATGTCCTAGCCAAGTTAACACACATTTTTGGAGGACACAATTCTGTCCATAACAATGTGGTCCTAAGGCCTCTCACAGGCTCTTCATAGCTCTCCTTCTTGCCCTCGCCCTCTACACCTTATGCTTTAGCCACACAAGCATCATGCTCTCCCACCTTTGTGCATGCTAGACCCTCTTCATTAATTCAGAAGGTATTAATTGATAACTTGCTGTGTGCTAAGCACTCTTTTTTTTTTTTTTTAAATGAAGAGAAGTCTATTTCCTCACAGTCAAAGTAGGCTAAAAGTCCAATTTCAGGGTGTCAGCTCCAGGGGAAGGCTTTTCTTCTCTGTCAGCCTTCTCTTCGGTGTTCCCCCGGACTAGGAGCTTCTCGGCGCAGGGACCCCTGTCCAAAGGACATGCTCTGCTCCTGGCACTGCTTTCTTGACGGTATGAGGTCCCCGCCAAGCACTCTTATAAGCACTGGATATAAAGAAGTGGACTAAGGAGAGGAGAGGAAAAAAAAATCCCTGCATTCATGATGCATATATGTTACTGGAGGGAGACAGAAAATTTATATATTCAAATATGTATATATATTAAATAGTAACTTTATATCCAATGGTAGTAAGTGCTATGGAGAAAAGCAAAGCATGGGCTGGGGTAGGGCATGACAGGGGAAGGGTGTTCTCATTTTAAATAGGATGGTTGCAGAAGGCCTTACATCCCTCACATACCTGAGGGACTCCCCCTGTTGAGATGCCCAGGGCTCACCTGAAGGAGTGAAAGCTCCTTGCAGGCAGAGGTGGTTGTAGCCAGCTCTGTATCTCCAGTACCTAGTCCTGATTCAGGTGGTGGCCAGTGAGTTGTGTAAATGAATATATAAATTGTATTGTCACACATTAGAAAACAACAGCCACTACTAGCTGGGCTTCAGAATTCTATGCCCTTTCCACTTCATGTTGTTGTTGTTAGGTGCTGTTGTGGGTTCTGAGTCTTAGCGACCCTATGTACAACAGAACAAAACACTGCCTGGTCCTGTGCCATCCTCACAATTGTTGTTATGCTGGAGCCCATTGTTGCAGTTATTGTATCAGTCCATCTCGTTGAGAGTCTTCCTCTTTTTTGCTGACCCTCTACTTTACGAAGCATGGTGTCCTTCTCCAGGGACTGATCCCTCCTGATAACATGTCCAAATTACATGAGACAAAGTCTTGCAATCTTTGCTTCTAAGGAGCATTCTGGCTGTACTTCTTCCAAGACAGATTTGTTCATTCTTCTAGCAGTCCATGGTATATTCAATATTCTTCGCCAACACCACAGTTTAAAGGTGTCAGTTATTCCTTATTCATTGTCCAGCTTTCACATGCATATAAAGCAATTGAAAATACCATGGCTTGGGTCAGGCACACCTTAGTCTTCAAAGTGACATCTTTGCTTTTTAACACTTTAAAGAGGTCTTTTGCAGCAGATTTGCCCAATGTAATACGTTGTTTGATTTCTTGACTACTACTTCCATGGGCATTGATTGTGGATCCAAGTAAAATGAAATCCTTGACAACTTCAGTCTTTTCTCTGTTTATCATGATGTTACTTATTGGTCCAGTTGTGAGGATTTTTTTTGTGTTGAGGTGCAATCCGTACTGAAGGCTGTAGTTTTTGATCTTCTTCAGTAAGTGCTTCAAGTCCTCTTCACTTTCAGCAAGCAAGGTTGTGTCATCTGTGTATTGCAGGATGTTAATTAGTCTTCATCCAATCCTGATGCTGCATTCTTCTTCTTAGAATCCAGCTTCTCAGATTATTTGCTCAGCACATAGGTTGAGTCGTATTAAGCAAGTGATAATTTATGGGCCTATTACTCTCAAAAAGGATTTTTCACTTCTTAAAATTTATATTAGGATGCCTTAAACTGTCCAGTAGATATAAAATAATTCACTCTACAAATGTTTATGTATAGTTTTTTAGAAAAATATATGTTGTATAAAGTGGTACGTTTCTTCTCTTACATAGTTTATAAGTTTTTGTTGTGCATTATCTGATTTCCTGAGTTGTTGGGATCAGACAGTTAGTAGAAAAGGAGTTGGGGACAGAGCCTGTGTTCTGGGCCTCGGAAGCTGTTACGTGGTGTCTCCCCACAGCTGGACCGGTCCACCCGGGAGGTTGAGCTGGGCCTTGACTACGGAACGCCCACCATGAACTTGGCAGGGCAAAGCCTCAAGTTTGAGAATGGCCAGTGGATAGCAGGTGGGCTCCATTTCCTGCCTTTTTGTCAAACCAGATTGTGGAATGAGATCCCCTTTGTAACTCTCAGTTCTTGCCTTCCTGCAGATACCGGGATTAGTGCAGGTGTGGACCGGAGGGAGGCTCAGCGCCTTCGCAGGCGGAACCAGCAGTTGGAGGAAGAGAACAATCTCTTGCGGCTGAAAGTGGACATCCTGCTAGACATGGTGAGGAAGGGGGTAGGAAAGGACGCCTGGGCTTTCCTTCTAGGGAAAGCCCAGCTTGAGTCATTTCATTCAACTGGTATCTCTTGAGTGCCCGTTTGCCCAGGCACTGTACTCTGAGTCCAACGATACAAAAACAGGTAAGACTCAGTCTCTGTCCTCAAGGGCTCACAGTCTAGCAGGAGAGGTAGACAGTAAGCATAATTCCAGTGCCTGTAGTAAGGGCAATAGTTACACTCTGTACAGGGTCTGGTGTGAGCCCATGAGAGAGAGAAGTTAATTCTGACAAGTCAAAGGCTTCACAGAGGAAGGGATATTTGAGCAGAATTTTGAAGGATAAAGGCACGAATGGAGGCTGGGAGGAGGGAATTCCAAGGAGAGGGCACAGTCTGCTCAAGACCTGGAGGTTTCCCATACCGTATGGACATGAGTTCATACCTGGCATAGACCTGCAGAAGGGCACTCTCTGGATTCATCGTGGTTTCTTGAAGCTTTTGAAAACCCAGCAACCTTTTGGGCCAAGAGGTGCGTGCTAAGGTTGATTGACAGCGTACATTGCCATGGTTAGGGGCATTTATTCTGGAACTTAAACTGCCTGCGTGCTTAGCCCAGCTCCTCTACTGACTGACTATGTGTTTTTAGGCAAGGTACTGCACAGCTCTGTGACTTAGTTTCTTCAGCAATAAAAAGGGCATAATAGTAACTACTTTGTAGGAGTGTTACGTGGGGATTCAGTGAGTTAATAACTCTTATTTCCCAGTAAGCTGATTTCTATTTTACATCTTCCCCTCCTTCTCTTTAATATCTTCCACCTTCTACTCCAAAGTCCACTGAAAGATCCCGACGAGAAAGTGGCATTCTTTTTCAAGCATTTTGTTTTCCTAATCACATAATGGTGATTATGCGAGCTGCAGCCCGGAACAGCTTAGCCTGCAGTCCTTTCGTTCTAGACTCACTAACATCTGTCTTTTTAATCCTCTGAGGCCTCCTTAATGTAGTGCCATGCAGTAGTAGGTGATGAAAAATGTCGAGGTATGGACTGTGAATGTTCTTCAAGTAGTGTGGCCCTGGGTTGTCAAGTGGTTACAGTCTGCCCAGTTGCAAAGGGGCTTCTCCATCATGGAGGCTGCCAGTGCTAGAAAAATGCCAGAAGGCCTTGCAAACCCAAAACACAGCTCAGAAATGTCCTTTTTCATAATGGCCTGCTGCTTTACTTTCAGCTCTCTGAAACCACTGCTGAATCCCACCTGATGGAGAAGGAGCTGGATGAACTGAGGAGTGTCAGCCGGAGGAGGAAATGAAGACCCCAAAGAGATTTGTTAGGCAAGCGGGGAGAAACCCACTGATCTGGGGAGTAGGATGTGGCTGAGGGTTTTTTGTTTTTGTTTTTGTTTTTTTTTTTAAGCCCAGCTAGTCGAGTAGGTCCTGGGAGAGAGTATCTGATAATAGGACCAGAAGGCACTGGCGCCCTTGAGTTGGCAGTGGGAAGGTGTAATGGAGGAAACCAAGATTCTAGGCCAGGCGATAACTAGAAACATGTTCTTAGTGCACTGTGTAGGGATGCCAATCTGTAAACCAGACATCAGGGATGTCAGGGGTGATGTTAAGCCTTTGGGTGCTCTCCAGACTCACCTTCAATGGACAGACCCCAATGGCAGAAGCAGCTGGAGTTCATCATATCACCCCTTATGTTGGTGTTTGGGGTATAGCAGGAGGTCTCGTACGGGCGGTGCTCCCGGTTCTCTGCCCTGCAGGCCACTCTCTCCCAGCTTTAAAAAATACTCGTCCCTCAAACCCACAACCTCCTCTGCTTCTGGCATCTCAGCAAGCACCAGCGTTCATGGCAACTATATTTTTTTGTGCTACTTTCTTGTTTACACTACTTCTTTTTTTATTAAATGATGTTAAATGAATCTCTCTGTCACCAAAGTGAGTGAAAAAAGAAGTTTCAGTTCTTGAAGAAGCAAATGGAGCCTGGAGTCCAAGCTCCCACTGCTCCATGTGAAGACAGACTTGCATGGTTGTAGGGAAATGTTGCCTTTGTAGAATAATGTTTCAGCATCCTGGGCCATAGCAAGGGCTGACCTGGAACAGAAATAGGCACTCTCTACCAGACTCCCTTGCCCTCCTCCTTCAGGGAGCTGGGACTGACCCAGACCAGGTGGTGACCAAGTGGCTGGAGTGGGGCTGGATTCCTAGATTGGGAATTCGTGCCTGAGTCAGTGTGAGCTGAACTTTCTTGGCTGGAGAAGAGGGTCGGCCAAAGTCAGTAAGAGGGGATCCAGCTCCCAAAGTCAAGGGGGTGGGCACTAAGGGTGAGGAGCGGACACCTGTCTGATTCCACAGCCCACAGGGAAGGAGAGGAGCTGGGTGACAGCCTCAAACAGAGGCCGCTGTGTGTAGTCCATCCTTACAGGCTACCAAGGCGTGGGCAGAAGAAAAGAATAATTATAGCTCCGCCCTTGACCTTGTTGTTGTTATTAGGTGCCATCAAGTCGGTTTTGACTCATAGCAACCCTGTGTACAACAGAACAAAACACTGTCTAGTCCTGCACCATCCTCACAATCATTGTTATGTTTGAGCCCATTGTTAGAGCCACTGTATCAGTCCATCTCATTGAGGGTCTTCCTCTTTTTCGCTGACCTTGTACCAAGCATGATGTCCTTCTCCAGGGACTGGTCCCTCCTGATAACATGTCCAAAGTAAATGAGATGAAGTCTCATTATCCTCGCTTCTAAGGAGCATTCTAGCTGTACTTCTTCCAAGACAGATTTGTTCATTCTTCTGACAGTTCATGGTATATTCAGTATTCTTTTCCAAAACCATAATTCACAGGCATCAATTCTACTTTGATCTTCCTTATTCATTGTCCAGCTTTCGTATGCCTACGTGGCAATTGGAAAGACTGTGGCTTGGGGTAGGTGCACCTTAGTCCTCAAAGTGACATCTTTGCTTTTTAACACTTTAAAGAGGTCTTTTGCAGCAGAGTTGCCCAATGCAATAAGTTGTTTGATTTTTTCACTGCTGTTCCCATGGGCGTTGATTGTGGATCCAAGTAAAATGAAATCCTTGACAACGTCAGTCTTTTCACCATTTATCATGATGTTGCTTATTGGTCTAGTTGTGAGGATTTTTGTTTTTTTTATGTTGAGGTGTAATCCATACTGAAGGCTATAATCTTTGATCTTCATCAGTAAGTGCTTCGTGTCTTCTTTGCTTTCAGCAAGCAAGGTTGTGTCATCTGCAAATCGCAGGTTGTTAATGAGTCTTCCTCCAATCCTGATGCCCCCTTCTTCATATAGTCCAGCTTCTTGGATTATTTGCTCAGCATAGAGATGGAATAAGTATGGTGAAAAGATACAACCCGCACAGCTTTCCTGACTTTAAACCACACAGTATCCCCTTGTTCTGTTCAAACAGCTGCCTCTTGGCCTATGTACAAGTTCTGCATGAGCACAATGAAGTGCTCTGGAATTCCCATTCTTTGCAATGTTATCCATAATTTTTTATGATCTACGCAGTCAAATACCTTTGCATAGTCAATAAAACACAGGTAAACATCTTTCTGGTATTCTTGGCTTTCAGCCAGGATCCATCTGACATCAGCAATGATATCCCTCATTCCACATCCTCTTCTGAATCCGGCTTGAATTTCTGGCAGTTCCCTGTCAATGTACTGCTGCAACCGTTTTGGAAGTAAAATTTTACCTGCGAGATGGGGCCAAGATGGCAGAGTAGTCAGACGCTTCCTGTGGTGTCTCTTACAACAAAAAAAAAACAAGTGAATCAATTATATATGACAGTCTAGGAGCCCTGAACATCAAAGGCAAAGTTGAGGAATCAGGCTGAGCAGTAGGGGAAGGGAGAGATGGTTCAGAAGCAGCGAGGAGTTGCCAGACCTGACCCGGCGGGAACCAGCACCCTGCAGGCTGAATTGGGTGGCGTGCGCAGTGAGGCAAGCAGTGGCACTCAGGACACGTTTTCCACACCGGGAGAGACCGAGTGGCAGAGAGTCTACTCAAGCCTCTAGAACCAGTGAAAAGTGGTGTTCAGTCAGCCAAAGATAAGTACATGTGTCTAACCTACTGCATGGATCAAAAAACACCCGCTTTGGGAAGAACCTTTCCCATTTCCCTGCCCCCTCCCTGCTCTGCACTGGGTCCCAGGCTGGCTTCAGCGATTGTGCATTCCCTGGGCCGGAAATAGGACCCATCGCGTGCCCTGAGCCATTCTCCCAGCTTTGAACAGGGAACAAATTAACAAATAGGAAAAAATAATCTGCCACCTCCCCTAAGCTGGAAACTCAGGGCAGGCACAGCCCCTTTGCCTAGGTGCAGGCATAAGGGGGTCCATGGACTTCGAATGCCCTTCACCCCTGCATAGACCTGTGTGGGCCCATTTCAACAGTGTAGGCCCTCATTAGCACAGTACAACAGGGTATATACCTGAAGCCTGTTGTCAGCTGTATGTGCTGTAAGATGGAGTGGCAGATTTGTGACATTTGGCACTGCTCTGCCCATTAAGCAGGGTCCTCACCTACCCACGTCAGGGGCCGGAGGACTGGTGGCTCCACCCATGCCACCTAGCCACCTGCAACAGAGGTCCAAGAATAAGTGGTGCCTCCCAGTCTTTACAGCCAACAGCATTGGGTGCCCATAATCCGGCTGCAAAACCCACCCACCTACGTGCTGTAGGGAACAGGGACACACTTTCTTCCCAAACACTCGGGCAGCCATCAGCCCCCTGCCTTTCTCAGTGCATGACCCCTTCCTGCAGCCAGATACATGTGCCTACTCCAATCACCCCTCCCTCTCTAGGACTGTAGGTGAGAGCCTGCACCACACACTTGGTGACCAACTACATGGACACCTGAGCTGAATCCATACAAGAAAAGTAAACAGACTCCTGGGCTCACATACCTAGTAACAGCTCTAACCACCTGGTGACAGGACATGAGAGCTTCGAAGGTGCCAATAATCAAACTAGCTCACACGACCAGCCTACTTGGGCATATCAAAACAAAACAAGAAGCTAGGATACAGTAAGCAAACATAAATATAATAACTTATTGATGGCTCGGAGACAACAGTCAATATCAAATCACGTAAAGAGGCAGACCGTGATGGCTTCAGCAAGCTCCCAAAACAAAGAATCAAGAAACCTTGTGGAGAAAGAGAATTTCTTGGAATTACTAAGGTAGAATTCAAAAGATTAATATACAGAGATCTGGAAGGAGATCATGAAAAATGCAGAACAAGCCAAGGAGCACACAGACAAAACAACAGAGGATCTTAAGAAGGTTATACAAGACCATAATGACAAATTTAACAGGCTGCAAGAATTCATAGACAACAAACAGAAATCCAAAACATTAACAATAAAATTTGAGAATTAGACAACTCAGTAGAAAGTCATAGCAGAATTGAGGCAATGGAAGTCAGAATTAGTGAGACTGAAGATAAAGCACTTGACACCAACTTATTTGAGGAAAAATCAGATAAAAGGATTTTTAAAAATGAAGAAACCTGAAGAATTATGTGGGACTCTATCAAGAGGAATAACCTATGAGTGATTGGAGTACCAGAACGGGGGGGATAACAGAAAATACAGAAAGAATTGTTGAAGATTTGTTGGCAGAGAACTTCCCTGATATCGTGAAAGATGAGACGATATCTATCCAAGAAGCTCATTGAACCCCACACAAGGTAGATTCCAAAAGAAAGTCACCAAGACATACTATAATCAAACTTGCCAAAACCAAAGATAGAGAATTTTAAGAGCAGCTAGGGATAAACAAAAAGTCACCTACAAAGGAGAGTCAATAAGACAAAGCTCAGACTACTCAGCAGAAACCCTGCAGGCAAGAAGGCAATGGGATGACACATATAAAGCCTTGAAGGAAAAAAAAATTGCCAGCGAAGAATTATATATCCAGCAAAATTGTCTCTAAAATTTTTTCTGCATGTGATACTAATGATATTGTTTGATAATTTCCACATTGTGTTGGTTCACCTTTCTTTGGAATGGGCACAAATATGGATCTCCAGTCGGTTGGCCAGGTAGCTGTCTTCCAAATTTCTTGGCATAGACGAGTGAGCACTTCCAGGGTTGCATCCGCTTGTTGAAACGTCTCAGTAGGTATTCTGTCAATTCCTAGAGCCTTATTTTTTGCCAGTGCCTTAAGTGCAGCTTGGACTTCTTTCAGTACCATTGGTTCTTGATCATATGCTTCCTCCTGAAATGAATGAACATCGACCAATTCTTTTTGGTTCAGTGACTCTGTATTTCTTCCATCTTTTGATGCTTCCTGCATTGTTCAGTATTTTCCCCCTAGAATCCTTCAGTATTGCAACTCGAGGCTTGAATTTTTTCTTCAGTTTTCTCCAATTCTTTCAGCTTGAAAAATGCCAAGTGTGTTCTTCCCTTTTGGTTTTCTAACTCCAGGTCTTTGTACATTTCATTGTAATATTTTACTTTGTCTTCTCGAGTCACCCTTTTATATCTTCAGTTCTTTTACTTCATCATTTTTTCAGTTCGCTTTAGCTACTCGACATCCAAGAGCAAGTTTCAGAGTCACTTCTGACATCCATTTTTGTCTTTTCTTTCTTTCCTCTCTTTTTAATGACCTTTTTAGCTTTCTTCATGTATTATGTCCTTGATGTCATTCCACAACTTGTCTGGTCTTTGATCATTAGTGTTCAGTGTGTCAAATCTATTCTTGAGATGGTCTCTAAATTCGGGTGGGATATATTCAAGGTTGTGCTATGGCTCTTGTGGACTTGTTTTAATTTTCTTCAGCTTCAACTTGAACTTGCACATCAACAATTGATGGTCTGTTCCACAGTCAGACCCTGGCCTTGTTCTGACTGATGATATTGAGCTTCTCCATCATCTCTCTCCACAGATGTAGTCGATTTGATTCCTGTGTATTCCATCCAGTGAGATCTGCGTGTATTGTCGCCTTTTATGTTGTTGAAAAAAGGTATTTCCAATGAATAGGCCATTGGTCTTGCAAATTTCTATCATGCAATTTTTGGTGTCGTTTCTATTACCAAGGCCATATTTTCCAACTACTGATCCTTCTTTATTTCCAATTTTTGCATTCCAGTCACAGTGAATATAAACAAAATTAGTTGGTTAAGGTTTTCCTAAAGTTTGTTCATATTAGTAGTGTGAATTCTCCACTTGGAGTCATGATGTCTGTGCTTTCCACATAAGATTGCCTCTCTACCTTCAAAGTGTCCCAGTAGTTTTTTAAAGATTCCACAAGAGAACTAAAAGTCATGGGTGTTTGCAGTGCAGTGGATCACTTTTATATGGCCTTTCTTGCCATGGTACTGTAACTCCCACGAAATCATTGGGTGAACTGTGCAAATAAGGTGCTTGTGGCCCACGAAGGGGATTGGACAGTTTTCTCATAGTACAAATAAGGTGCATGGCACTCCTGTGGGGGTAGGGGCATGCAAATTAGGTGTATGGAGCACTAACGAGGGGATTGGTCAATTTTGCCATCCCACTAGGCTTAAAATAAGTCATCCCAGAGGCAGAAAGTGGGGACCTCACTACCACCAATAAGAAGACGGGAGAGAAGCATGTCCTTTGGACCCAGGGTCCCTGCGCTGAGAACCTCCTAGACCCAGAAGTCAGAGAGAGAACTGTAACACCAGAGATGGTGCAAGATGGTAAGAAGTGATGGTAGAGAAGCAGTGGCAACAGAGCAGGAGACAGGCACGAGATGGCGAAGTGGGCTTCTTGGCCAATGGAGCAAGGTTGTTACAATGGGTGTGTTGACCCACAGAGTGAGAGAGCTGAGTGCCTTTGAGCCAAGGCTTACTGGTGGAGTGGAGTGCCCCTGGGTACTTATTGGTGGAGCTAAAGAGCTTTGTAAAACTTGCCCAAGCAGGGCAGAGCCTAGGCCAAGGGCCCGAGAGAGGCCTGCATGTGAGCACGGCTGGGAAGACTCTGTCCTGATTGAAAGACTATCTTGAGTCATTCCTGATCCTGAACTGTAACTTGTTACTTCCTTAATAAACCCCATAATCGTGAATATGGTCTATGAGTTCTGCGTAGCCATTGCAATGAACTGCTGAACCCAACAGAGAAGTAGATACTGCTGTGGGAGGGACTGTTGGTGTCAGAACTGGTAAAAAGGTTGCAGGGTGGAGGTATGTTTGACCTCTGCCTCATAGGATTCAGCCTTGGGCTGGTGATCTTGATTCTCCTTCCCCCTTTTGAGGTTGGAGGGGGTCTGATGCACCCATGCCCCCATTTTTACAGTGTTGGACACTTAAGCTGCCCTTGCATTTATGTACAGCTTTTGTTGTTAAGTGCCATTTAGTTGATTCTGACTCGTAGCAACCCTATAAACAACAGAATGAAACACTGACCAGTCCGGCACCATCCTCACAATCACTGCTATGTTTGAGCCCATTGTTGGCAGCCACTGTGTTATGTAGAGCTAGCCTACATTAAAAAACAACATCTTAAATTTAACACGTGCAAAAAAGAGCATAATTCATAAGTGTAAAGCTTGATGAATTACCCAAAATGAACATTCCCATGTAAACACCACCCAGGTCAAGAAATAGAACTTTACCAGCCCCCCAGAAGCCACTCTCCTACCCCTTCCCAAATATTACCCCTTCCCTCCTCCTCAAAGGTAATCACTATCCTGACTTTGCACCATAGATTGGTTTTGCATGTTTTTGAACTTTATATAAGTAGAATCATAAAGTAGGCACCCTTTTGTGACATAAAAACGTATAGTTAGAAGCTGCCCTGTCCAAAGATGAAAAGGACTGTGTCAGGAGGAAGTGCATGCACCCCCAGTCACCTCCAAGGTGTGTGAAGAGGATCGAGACTCCTGCTATGTCACCATCACACATCCAACGAGGATTTGGACTGGGTAATCCTGAGATTTTCAGATCCCATGGTCAGCTGGCTAAAGGTATATGTTAACAACTTGTGGGGGTACATTATAAAAAGAAGCATTTCCATTCATCATATAGGAAAAAGGTAGAAATATGTGTAATATCCAATGCAGGGTGTGGGGAAAAGGACACTTTCATTTATTATTGTGAAAGTATATGATATTATAATTCTTGTGAAGGCCATTAACTAATACCTAGCAAAATTTTAAATGTGCATTCTTTTCGGCCAGTAAGCCTACTTCTAGAAATCTATCCTCCAGAAATATTTGCAGCAACCCTGTACTGTGCCCGTATTTCCTCATCTGTAAAATAGGGATAATTGTACCTACTCAGTGGGTTGTTGTGAGGATTAAATGAGCATCACACACACACCCACATTTAGAAAGTGCCTGATACTTTAGTTGTTAGCGGTTACCTTTTAGTACATTGGACTGCTTACTTGTTTTCCCATAAGATCCTTGTTGTACCCTTGAGTCAATTCCCACTCCCAGCGACCCCATGTGACAGAGTCGAACTGCCCCATAGATTTTCCTAAGCTGTAATCTTTACAGGAACAGATCTCCAGGTATTTTCTCCCGCGGAGCTGCTGGTTGGTGGTTTGGAACCTCCCACCTTTCAGTTAGCAGCCGATCACTTAACCATTGGGCCACCAGGGTCCTTAAAAGACCAATAAACCTCCAAATCTCTAACGTATTCCTACCAATAAACACACACTCCTCAGGAAAATGAAACTGGTATCAGTGTCAAAGTTTGATTCTAGGGAGGCTTGTTAAAAAGCAGATTTTTGCTTTCACCTAAAGCACAATTAAAAAAAAAGATTTTTGTGCCCACCCTAAACCCACTGAAAAGAATTACTGAGGGACCCTGCAATTTCTTATTGTGTGTCGTCCAGTACATTCTGACTCATAGAGGTATGTTTTATGCCTACTGAAATCTGAGAAACACTGGGTAAGATAACGAATAGTTGGTTCCTTCAGGGTTTCGCCACTGCCACAATTGGCTAATGGGAGTTTGAAGACCTCCACTCCAGAGGGCGCCACTCTCTCCCCAGATCCCCTCCAGTCTCTCGGTTCCCGGAAGGGCAGTTCTGTCCGCTCTTCCCTCCTCCTTCGTCTCCTCTCTTCCGCTTCCGGTGTCCCCTACAGCCATGGCTGCCGCCGCAGTTGCCGCCGGCCCTGGGGCGCCAGTGTCCCCGGACGAATTGCTCCCGAAAGGCGACGCCGAGAAGACTGAGGAGGATCTGGAAGAGGACGACGACGAGGAGGTACTGGGTGCCCGCGGGGCCGCGAGGCGAGGAGCGAGGGGACGGGCGGGGAGCCGATCCGCCCGGGGGTGTGGGCTCCGCGTGCTGTCGGGGCGAAGGCGCGTCGCTGAACCCGGAGAGGTCGGAGCGGAGGCGGCTTCTCCGGGAGGCGGGGCTAGGGCCCCCCTGGGGTCGAGGGGTGGCTGCCGCTTCTTCGGCCAAGACCCGCGCCTCCTCCACCACAGCTAGATGAGACTCTGTCGGAGAGACTATGGGGTCTGACGGAGATGTTCCCGGAGAGGGTCCGGTCCGCGGCCGGAGCCACTTTTGATCTCTCCCTCTTTGTGGCTCAAAAAATGTACAGGTAAGGGACGAGGGTAAAGACACTGCGGGGTGTGCATGGGGTGACTATGGTGCTGATGAAGAACACGGGCTTTGGAAGCAGCAGAGCTGGGTTCGAGGCCAGCCTGCCACCTTTGATTACTGAGTGACCTTGGACCAGTGGTACCGTAACCCTTCTGAGTCTCAGTTTTCTCTTCTGTAAAGTGGGGATTCTTTTCTGGTAGGGTCGTTGTGCGGATCATTTCAGAGTATCTGAGCTGATTAATGTATAAGCAGCTTTGTTAAGTAGAACATAGGAGAATGTTAAACTACTGTCGCTATGTAGCTACCAGAACTGCTCCTCTTGTTTATGGCCAGAGTGGTGCAAGAGGTGGGTAGAATACCTTATCAGAAACATTCAGGTATGTAGAGTGTGAGAAGTTTGGTTACTGGTTTTTTATTTCTCCATCTTGCTACCTTCCCTCTGCAGGTTTTCCAGGGCAGCCTTATGGATTGGAACCACTTCCTTTATGATCCTGGTTCTTCCGGTTGTCTTTGAGACCGAGAAGTTGCAAATGGAGCAACAGCAGCAACTCCAACAGCGGCAGGTGAGCCTAGAACCCTGGCTTTTTGCCAGTGGTGGAGACACAAATTTTTCTCTCCAGCACTTGGGTAATGTGTAGGTAGGGGCTGGGCCTGGGACCTTGTATGCTTTTAAATACCTGACTCTGCTCAGCGTTGTTTTTGTAAAAGACCTTGTCTGCCCCATCCGGTATGGTGTAAATGAGATCCCTAGACCTGTACAACCCACTAACTCCCCTCCTTTTCTTTTACAGATACTTCTAGGGCCAAACACAGGGCTGTCAGGAGGAATGCCAGGGGCTCTACCTTCACTTCCTGGAAAGATTTAGATTGTTATTGCTATATTTGAGCTGTCTTGGTGGGAGAAGTTTGCAATTCAATAGTGTTTGAACTGCTGATTATTTGGATTTTTTTTTTTTTTTTAAACTTTGGCACACTGATCAATCTAAACCTGGTGGGGAGAATTCTTCCTACTTTGTCTCGCAGAGACTCCCAACTTGCACCTGTGCCCTCCACTCTGTCTTACTTCTTCTGCCTTCACTCTGACAGCAGAGTGCAGCAATGCAGACGGTTACTCACCACCCCACACCCTCACTAAATTGCTCCTAGTTGTTCTGGAAGACCCCTCATTCTCCCATTGTGGGGTAGAACTGATGCCAGTGGAAGGGATGTACTCCTGACCATTAATGACTGTTTTTTTTTTTTTTAGAATGGAGTTGTTGGGGAGGGACACGCACACAGTATGAAACGGACAAAATGCATTATAGCTGTAGTACAAATCAGCCACTGTGCATCTTTGTGTGCGCTGGGGAGAAGGGAGGGCCAGCAGCAGCCTGGACCACAGGGTGGAGACTAGGGGACAGCAGGAGCTGGTTTCCTCTGCGCATTTTGGCTGTCTGACTTCTGTGTGTGTGTGTGTGTGTGTGTGTTAAAAAAAAAGTGCTCACTTTTTGTATTTAAATATTAAAAATGATTCCAACTCAAAGTGTCATCCATGTGCTTGTGATACATGCCTCAGTGTTACTTAGTCCAGCCTGTGCCACTTTTATCTTTAGAGGGCAAAGACTCATGCTGCCTCTAGCACATCTTCTCACCCAAGCGAACACCACCATCTTAACGTGATTGGCCCCTGAAGCCCATATTAGTTAAGTTCCAAAAGTAAAATCTTTGAAGAAAATTCACTGTTAGCCTAAGAACCTCTTTGAATAATCTTTGCTCTGAATTCAGGCAGTCAATCACTTTTAGGTCCATTAGCCTAAAACAAAGAGTTGGGTCCATGTACTTGAATAGTCTACAATGACATGGCATGATTGTAAAGTACTTGTAAGGAATGACAGATAGTACTGATTTCTAGTCTATGGGCTTGGGAGTTGCCAGTAGAACTTTGTTGTGACCTAGTTTATCAAAATAATTGTTGAGGTGAGCCACTGATAAATCCAATTGTAGCCCTGTCTTTGAATTTTGCAGTCTATTTAACATAATACTCATTGAGCATGTGCCAGGAATAGTACTAAGCCTCTTATGTAGATTATCTATCAGGACAATACAATTTAATAGTAGTAGTCCTATTTTATAGATGAGGAAACCACCACAGAAAGTTTAAGTAATTTGCATAAGGCCACAGAGTAAGTGCTGGATCTGGATTCAAATCCAGGTGGTCCACCCACAGGGCCCTGCTATATACCTGGGTTCTGGGACAATCTAGGCCCTCCATTCAAATGCACTTGTTAACTGGGGAAAAACAACTAGTCACCAGCCAGAGCTGGTACAGTCAACATGTAGATGGGGCCTTCAAACTGTCAGGTTTCACTTTTGTAAATAAAAGTAAACTGAAAAATGCCCCAGAGGTTTTGTTAGAGTCAAAGTAAGTATTTTGCAGGGAAGTCAGCATAACTGGACTAAACCAAAAGCTAAGAAGTTTCCTGAATACTACCAAACACCTCGAGGGACAGTAGCAGGGGTGGGGGTCTGGGGACCATGTTTCTAGGAGACATCTAGGTCAACTGGCATTAACAAAGCTTATTAAGAAAATGTTCTCCATCCAGCTTTGGTGAGTGGCAGCTGGGGTCTTAAAAGCTAGCAAGCAGCCATCTAAGACTCATCAGTTGGTCCCAACCCACCTGGAGTAAAGGAGAACAAAGAACACCAAAGACACAAGGAAAATATCAGCCCAAGAGACACAAAGGGCCACATAAACCAGAGACTCCATCAGCCGGAGACCAGAAGAACTAGATGGTGCCTGGCTACCACCAATGACCTCCCTGACACGGACGGAATACAACTGAGAGTCCCTGACGGTGCAGAAGAAAAGTGGGGTGCAGAACTCAAATTCTAGTAAAAAGACCAGACTTGATGGTCTGACTGCAACTGGAGGGATCCTGGAAGGAAGACATGGCTCCCAGGCACTCTGTTAGCCCAAAACTAAAACCATTCCCGAGGCCAATTCTTCAGACAAAGATTAGAGTGGACTATAAAACAAAATGATACTTTTGAAGAATGTGCTTCTTAGCTCAAGTAGATACATGAGACTAAATGGGTGGCTCCTGTCCAGAGGCGAGATGAGAAGGCAGAAAAGGGACAACAGTTGGTAGAATGGACACGGGAAATCTGGGGTGGAGAGGAGGAGTGTGCTGTCACATTGTAGTGAGAGCAACTAGGGTCACATAACAATGTGTGTATAAATTTTTGTATGAGAAACTGACTTGTACTGTAAACTTTCACTTAAAGCACAATAAAGAAAAATATTTTGTCTCTGAATTTTTCAGGTGAAGTCTGATTAAAGCTCAATAAGCCTATAAAAGATGACTTATTATGGTAGTGAATTCTTTTTAAAAGAGCATCACACTAACATTTATTATTTTTTTTCTTTACATATGTAATTCAGGCAGACAAGGAAGGAGATTTATGTATGGAATTTTCCATTTTTAATATTTGGTTAAACAAAATACATCTTTTGTAAACAAACCCAGCACAAGGCCAACAACAACAACAAAAAGGAATAAAAGCAAGAAAAACAAAAAGCCTAGGTTGCCCCTTATTGGGCATCAGGGTTGGGCCTGCTCCCTTCCTTAAAGGAAGTGGGGCTTTTTGCCCTTGGGCATCAGCATGGGTCCCTGTTCCTAAGCACCAGAATTGGATATGAACAGAGAAACAAGCCCTGAAATGTTTAAGCGTCTTTGCGTAGCCCATTGGCTCGTGGACTCCAAGTGCATGGGACTCCTTTGAAGTGCCATTTACATAGGCCCAAGCAGATCTGCGGGGAGGAATTTCTTCCTCTTCCCAGGAAATGGCTTACTATCACGAACAGTGCCAATGGACCCAGAAATGGCTTACTATCACATACACTGCCGATGGACCCGAGGTCCTGCTTGTGACAATCAGCAAGGTTGGCTGTAACTTCTGGCTGGTGCTGGTTGGAATGTCATTGTGCGGGGGTGGAGAGCTCCCTGTGGTGGCAAGCAGGTCTGGTATAGAAAACAGTACAGAAGAGACTGCGGCCAGTTGCTGGGAGAGCGTAATGCAGTAGCCGCTTGGTGGCTTCTGTTACTCAACATAAAAAACGGCCTCGTTGAAGACACATGTGCAGAAAAAGTGCTGGTGTAAACATGCACTCCAGTCACAGTGGGGAGAAAGCCTCAGCTTCGTCCCGTTAAGCTTGCTCAGGTTCAACGTGCAAACCCCAGGCTGGCTCTGCTGCTGAAGAGAAGTCTGGCCAGTGGGGCAGCATCCAGACCTGGCAAGACCATTGATCTGTGAGGACTGGACAGGTCCTCCCGGCCTGCCTACCTGCCTGAGGCGACCACACCACTGGTGACACAGTGTGGTGTGATACCTATTTCCCCTCCTCCTTTGTCTTCCAAAGTTACAGGAAAAGTGGCCTACAACTATTTAAAGAGGTAGGGGGCAGGTCAGTTCTCTGACTTGTAAAGGAAACTCCAGAAGGATGACAAACCCAGGTCCTATAACATAATGCACATAACCATCCAACTTGAGGGCTCTGCTTCTTGTCACTACAGTGACCCCGAGCCCCTGAGCCTAGGACTTCTACCAATTCTGTCTGCTCTTAAACTCTGAGAAGCTTATCTTCACAATACTCTCCTCACCCAACTCTGTCCCAGCATAGAGGAATTTGCTCTCAAAGGCAAACATATGTTTTTCTGATTTTGCCAGACTGGGTCAACTGGAAAAACTGCTCTTTTGCCTTGTCTTCTGCCCCAGAGCCTTCTAAATCAATGTAGTGAAATGGTAGAAACAAAACCGGAGTGAGAGCTATTGAAAACAAGCCACCCCATGCCTGCCCCAGTTTGGCTTTAGCCATGTCCTCTTAGGTATCTATCTTACCCGTCAAGCTGGAATATTGCAGGATTCAACCACCCGGCTTAGAATATTAGAGGACTTATCATTATAAAACTCCAAAGATGGCCACAAACCACCCTTAAACATGGGGGTCCCATTAAGGGATAAAAAGGGGTGGCATTAAGGGTTGGAGACAGCACGCTGTACCGCGGCTAGGGTTTTAGAGATGGTTTCCTGAGAGACCCCAATGCTCTAGGTCCTTCAGGCCAGTCACATGGGCTTTGCATGTACTATGTCTTCAGACCCATTGGTTTGCCAGGAAAGGGAAAGTGGAGGCAGCATCTCCAGGTAAGCCTGGAGCAGCAATGATTAACTCCAGCAGAACCTGTGTCAAGTCCTCACAGGAAAGGGGAAAATAAACTAGGACCCACCTTTCTTCCTCTCTCTTGAAACCAACGGTCTTCGATGGCTTGCCCTAAGCACACAGAGCTCCTATCTTCCTTTCCCACGAACAAGTAACGCTGGTGGTTGTTCTTCTAACAGTCCACACATCTGTCCTATTGCACTGTCAAATCTGAGGGGAAAATCCCAACGAGATGTTTGGGGAAGTGGCAAGGACAGGCCCACTGTGTAGGCCACAGCACATCACAGAGGCTTGAGGGGTTGAGGTGAGGGGAAGGTTGGGCAGAACTGCATTACACATCAGCCCTCCAGCTCTGATGGGCTTCCACTTCTTCTGGTACCACCAGCAGGAGTTCACAGTTCTTTCCTCGCAAATGATGTTTTAGAAATTTCCTACAGGAAGAAGGTAGATGAAAGAGAATGAAATGCTGGTGAAGTTGCAAATTCCACACTCAGGGCTACATGTTCACCAGAAATTCCATTATTTATACCCTCTGTGCTCCTAAAAACACTCTAGTAGTCCATCTCTTCTTGGAGGGTTCTGCATTTGATTAACTCTCAATCTGTCCAGTTAAGATTTCCAATTTGAATTTTTGCCAGTGGTAAGTGGTTCTGTGAAGAACAGAGCCCAAAGTTCTCTAAAGTGAGGGACTTCTAACTGAAACAAACAAAAAGTTTCTTCTTTGGTCACAGGGAAACTTAGTCCTCTCTGGCCTGAATATTTAAGTCTTCCTTTCTCTGAACTGGCAACCATCCTGCTGCAGTTGTTTAAGCGTGGAGAACGTTACAATGCTAGTCCTACTAGACCAGAAGTCCTGTGGAACTTCCCTACCAAAGGGACTTAAAGTCCTAATGGTCCATCTAAGATTAAGGTCTTTCAAGTCTGAGACCCTGTGATTCTAAGCAAGGCAGGGAGAGGAGCCAAAGAGATAGGAATTTCATTAGTGTCTCTCCTTTGTCAAATAAACCAAAGATGAGCTCAACTTCCTCAGAACACCAAAATAAAGGAGCCCAGCACGTTAGCCACACCACCAGAGACTACCTGAGCTCGCTCTCGCCTCCAATCCACTCAGGCATCTTGAGTTTGGAGTCGAGGTTGTAGTAGGCACCTCCCACCTCTCGCACACAGATCCAGTGCTGCCTTTTGAGAGGCAACTTCAATGGGCCCCAGCACAGGCTGGAGGGCAGATTCATGATGAAGCCCATGACGTTAGTGAGAGCAATGACACCGACATCCCTGAAGAGGAGGAATGGTGTTAGGTTCCAAGGCAGTCCATTGCCCAAGGTTCCCTGGCTGTAAAGCCACAATCAGTTACCTGCCCACTGATGCCCTAAGTTCCAGTATTAAAAACCATGCTGTGGGCTCCATCGAGTCAAGCCTGGCTTGAATTACCTGCGCTTGTCCCACCAAACAGCTTCATAGCCTTTGGTTTGAAGGGCCGCCATGATGACATTCACATCGTAGTTCCCATTTCCCAGCATGCTCTTCTTGTGAGGTGTCACCATGGTGTTTGGAGACAACCTAAACGTGAAAAGAGAGGAGTGAGACTCACTGGTCCGCCTAACCCCTCCTGGCCCTGCACTACCAGGACAGAAGAAGAGCATGTCCCACTACCCCCGGAAGCTAGTTTCCCCTCATTCAGGTGCCATTTAACCAGCTTCTTCCAAAGTATTTGGTAGTCTGCTCCAGCTGTTCTTGGAATTACCTCTTTATGCAACACATGTCAGTATGGGTGGGGCCTATCTGCCTGCCATTCAGTGTGTCTACAGTGCAGTCAACAGACATAGAGCATGTGCCATGGAGGAGTTTCCTTTGCAAAATCCCCAGCCTATCCATTTTCATAGTCTTCTTCCCCTATTGCTGAGCTTCTTACCTTTGATACAAGTCTTTAAATACTCAAAGGCCTATACCGGCCTAAGGCAGGTAACATAAACGTATGAATTGAGGCCAGAGTTAAGGTAATAAAAACTAGTGAGGCCTATGACAACTGAAAATGCATGACCCACCTAAAGACATTACAAACATAAAAACGTATGTCTCTCTCTGTGTGTATAATACTTAAACACAATTAAAACACACACACACACACACACACACACAGAATCAATTGAAAAAAATTTTGGGCCAAACAGAACTCACTGCAGTCCCGTTTGCCTACCCAGCTTTGAGACATTTTTTGCCAAGCTGCTTCATCTCAAGACAAGGTCTGTGCTGAGGACATATCCAATCCTATTATTTGTCTTCATGGGCCTGTCAGGCCAGCCTCTAAGGAAAGGCCATCCTGAAGGTAGAAGGGTCAGCACGCCTTTTACCTTCGTGTGCAGGGATGAAGGGAAACGTGATGAGTTTTCTCAGGAATAAAAGCAGAGGGCAGATGTCCAGGAGGTTACTAAACGCCACCTCCAGAAGAAAATCAAGACTTCAGGCCAATGAAAAAAGCAAAAACCAAACCCACTGCCCTCGAGTCAATTCCGACTCATAGCAACCCTACAGAACAGAGTAGAACTCCCCACAGGGTTTCCAAGGAGTGGCTGGTAGATTTGAACTGCCGACCTTTTGGTTAGCAGCCGAGCTCTTAACCATTGTACCACCAAAAAAAAACCCCAAATTCAGGGCCACTGAGTCAATTCCGACTCACAGCGACCCTACAGGGCAGAGTAGAACTGCCCCATAGGGTCACCAGGGCTCCTAAAAACTTAGGCAATCTTATAAAGTTTAACTTTTCTACACACAACCACCATATTGACTGTTTTTCAAACACAAAACATATTCCTTAAAACCCTCCAATGGCTCCCAAAGCACTTAAATAGAACCTAAACCCCTTCCCCTGGCCGACAAGGCCCTTGGGGAGCCTGCGGACTCATCTGTTACCTCTTACCATGCCGACCTTCCTCCTGGTTCCTTGAACACACAAACCTCATTCTCACTTAAGGGCCTTTGCATTCACCAGCTGTTCCCACCATCTGCAATGCTCTTTCCCTAGATCTTCCCTTGGTCTGCTCCTTATTATGAGTCTGAAACGTTAATGCTTTATAGAGAGGCCTTTCCTGACCACCCAACCTTAGGTTTTTCCCACTCACTTCCTCTCATGTCAACTTGTTTTGAGTTAATTACAGCCCTTGTCACTACCAGACATGTTTTTCCTTGTCTGTTTTCCCACACCAGAATGACAGCAGGGCCTTGTCTACCCTGTTGGCATCACCAGGGCCTGGTACATGACCGGTGCTCAAGGGATGCTTGTTAAAATGTTACTCATGTATATTTTGTTATCCTATGTCTTTCCTTGTGAATATTAATAGTAAACCCTTAAAATGAAAAAGATGTGTTGTCTCCAAAGCTAGCAAGGGAGAGCAATGTGAGAACACTAAGCTCCACTCTGCAACCAAACTTTACCTGTAATAATAGTTACCACTTACTGAAAACTCTGTGCCAAGCACGCTGGCAGATGTTCTCATCACATGCACCTCATTTACTCCTCACAAAAAACCTATAAGGGTAAGAATTATTATTTCCATTTTATGGATGTAAAAATTGAGGTTTGGTGATGTTAAATAATGTGCCCTTAATCACTTACCTCACACATGACACGACTAAGATTCAAACTTAGCTTTGTTTGAGTCCAAAGTTGTGTCTGCTGCCTATGGCGAGGGCCCACGAATCAGAGTGGGTGGGGGCGGCAGGTTGATAAAGGGAAAGGCCAGAAGCAACAGTTGAGTCCCTGGGGCCTGGGCCTAAAACGCAGCTAAACAGGACAAAGGCCCTCAGCGGATTAAATGAGAAAGCATATGAATAAAAGGCTAGCTCAAGATACATCAAGTTTCTCTTCAACAGTTTTTCAGTGGCTTCCCACTGCGTTTAATAAAGTCTCTGACCGATACATGCCTGAAGGCTCCAACAACGATAACACTGAGTCTTCCGCCTCCTGTCACCATGTAACTCCCTACACCAGGCTAAACCTCAGAGTGGCATTTTCCCAAGTGTGTTCCCAGAGACACCAGCTCTGTGCAGTTCAACAGAGTGCCACAGAAAGCATTAGTATAATGGCTGAAGGGATTAAGTAAGCAGAGGTTTCCTGCAGGAATTCTGAGAGTCCCTAGTATGCTAATACTCACTTTGAGTCTCCAGGAGTGGAGGATATAATATGCTTCAGTTTCCAAACATATTTGACCACATAAACATGTTTCTGAGATGTACCTGACAGGACTAGTGTTCCAAGGATCTCTCTTTCCTGTCCTTCATCCTCCATCTCAGATTCAAATCCTTTCCTGTCTATTCCCACTACCTCTTCCTTAACTGGGAGTCCCTCACCTGACACCTGGACTTTTGAAACAGGTTCCTAATTGATCTCCTTGCTTCCAAACTCCTTCCACTTATTCAACCTACACATTCCTGCCACATTCATCTTCCCTAAACATGCACGCATCATTTTACTTCCTTATGTATGAACTCACGCTGGGGCAAACTGGCTGGTGGGTCACCCCCAAACCTCCCCACCCACTCAGCCTGCCTGGTTTCCCTCTCACTGGACTTAGTGCACTTCAGGCACCATGATAGTTCAGGCTTTTATTCTTCTATGCTATTTCCTATTCCAAGCCAAATCCTGTAGCTTCTTCAAGCTCAACCTCATATACTATTTCTTCCATAGAATCTTTCCTGACTCCTCCGTGTAATGGAAAAAGGAGGGAGATTTGGAAGACCGCACAGATCTGAATTCAAATCCAAGCACCACCAATACTAATTGTGAGATTTAAGTTCTATGCCTGTTACCTTACCTATAAAAATGAAAATGATTTATTCCTTACTGGGCCATTGAAGGACTCAGTTACTTCACATACGCCCAACCGAACAGTAAGCCCTTAAGCAAAGGGGATGGCTCTTCTACTCTGTATCCCTCACAGCTAGGCACTGGCAACTTAAAAACATGTGTTGGTCAAACCATAGCATTTTGTGATCAATCAAGAAGCTGAGAATAACTTTCATTCATCTCATGTGTAGAGAAGTCATCATTTAAACAAGTGGGGTCCATCCAGTGCACCCACTACCCCAGGACTTGCTTTTACTTAAACATTTATCAAGTGCCCATTGTGTTAGCTACTCTTCTGGGCTTTATCACTTAATCCTCCCAACCATCTTGCATAGCTATTTACCCCTTATTATAAATAAGGAAGCTGAGGTGCAGAGACAGTACAGCAACCTGCAGTCATACCGCTGGTGAGACTAGACTGGGCAGTCTCTTGGATATTTCAACACAATGATCTGGTCCCACTGAATTTCATGGGATCCTACTGATTTCAATGGAAGGTTTTCTTGAGACTCCTTGGCAAACTCTTGTTCAGGGCTGCCTTAATCATTTCCATAGAAATCTTGGGCTGTATGGAGCATCTTCTCCTTGTCATTACAGCCAGAGCTTGGAACCATGAGATTTGAAGTGATGTAAAAGTCAAAAGAGGGACTCAGTCTGGGTCTCCACTAGTGCCTATGCCCTCAGGTGAGTCCTGGTCCTGTCTTGTGGTTACCACTGTCTGGCTATGGTGATGGTTTTGGATTTCAATGAAAAGGGAGATGGGGAGCATTTCATCAAGATTCCTCTCTCCCCCAAAATATGATTCTCCTTTTTATCAGGTGTGAAGAGACAGTGACATTAAAAAATATGAAAATATAGCTCAGAACTTTCTGATATGTTTTTAAATGAGTTAATACACATAAACCAGGTTTCACAGAACTGGGCACATAGTGAGCGCTCTGCAGGTGTTGGTTATATCATTAGTGCTAACTACGTTTTACATGAGAGAACTCACATCTCTAGAGGATAACACTCCATTACACCTTTTCTCAATTTACAACCACCATACCTTTAAATCTGAACCCTTCTACCTGCTCACCGGACCCCTGGTGGCGCAGTGGTTAAGAGCTCCAGTGAGCTACAGCTGCTAACCAAAAGGTCGGCAGTTCAAATCCACCAGCCGCTCCTTGAAAACCCTATGGGGCAGTTCTACTCTGTCCTACATGATTGCTATCAGTCAGAACTGACTCAACAGGAATGGGTTTGGTTTATCTGCTCATTGTAGTGCTGTTAGTGGTCCCCAAGTCAGCCCCTGACTCACAGCAACCCAATGCTCAATGGAATGAAATGCTGCCTGGTATTGCACCATCCTCATGATTGGCTATAGATTGGACAGCTGTGGTACACAGGGTTTTCATGGGCTGATTTTCCAAAGTAGACTGCCAGACCTTTCTTCCTAGTCTTAGTCTGGAAGCTCCGCTGAAACCTGTTCAGCAACATCGCAACACGCAAGCCTCCCATGACACATGGGTGGTGGCTGCACATGGGGTACATTGGCCAGGGTTATCATATGGAAGGCAAGAATTCTACCACTGAACCACCACTGCCCCCATCTACCTCTTTAGGGACCTTTCAATGGTGAGGCTGGAGGACTTCCTTTCTGTGGTAGACTGCAGGCTGTTCACTGACATCCATAATCTCTTCATCCCTTCCCACACTAATCAGATTTTTTTCCCCTAGTACCAAGCTAATTTTCTTCTAATTAGGTTTTAATAGTTATTTTATTTGGGAGAGGAACACTTACTTGGCTACGAGAACCTTTTATCACTGAAAAATTGAGATGAGTCTAGTGAAAATGTTTGGGGCCTGAGGATTTCCAAAACAACCTAACAAAGCTGCTACCGTATCATTTGACTTCTAAGTCCCCTTCATTTTCAAACATATAACCAAACCAAACCTGCTGCCGTTAAGTCGGTTCATAGCGACCCTATGGGACAGAGCAGAACTGCCCTATAGGGTTTCCAAGGCTATAATCTTTACGGAAGCAGACTGCTACATGTTTCTCCTGCAGCGTAGCTGGTGGGTTTGAACTGCCGACCTTTTGGTTAGCAGCAGAGTGCTTAACCACTGTGCAACCAGGGCTCTTTGACAGATGCATATATAGACTAAAATGTATGCGATAAAATATCCTTATCTATACATATACACGGTACAGCGAGAGAAAGATGTGGCAGTCTGCTTCCATAAAGATTAGTCTTGGAAACCCTATGGGGCAGCTCTACTATCTTACAGGGTCACTGAGAGTTGGAATAGGCTCGACAGCAGTAGGTTTACACGTACATACTGATGACACCTGCCCAGATTCTCTGGTCTTTTCTTCAATTTCACATGCTGAGAACTGATCCCTCTCAAACCAATGACCTTTCTGTATCACTGCAGAAGTGACCATTATCTTCAAAGCCTTCGTCACATCTGGCTTTTCTCTTTCCTATCTCCTTGTTGCTACCAAGTCCATTAGCTTATAAATTCCTATTCATTTCTATTCCAAACATGAGTCATCTCATATCCACAACTGTATCGAAACTCCACCCTGCTTTTGTTTTTCTCCTGGCTAAATTTTTTTTTTTTTTTAAATCTGGCTAAAATTCAACTGCTAGAATGAACTTCCTCTCAACCAGTGGCGCAAATCAACAATTTTCTCCCATTCTTACCATTTATCGGTCACATTTTCATAAAATCTTTTAATTTTAGCTCAGAGAATTTAAAATTTTCTAAACCTGCCAGCATTTTTGTTCTTTCTGTTAAGCTCCAAACTGATTCTCTTTTCACTTTTAAAATTGCTCCAAATTCCATGGTTCTAATTTCACTTGAATCAATCTTCCAGGCCCAACCAATATATATCCCTGAAATACACTTCTTAGAGGCTGAGTCCTGTTCAGCTTGTTTTCCCTATAGAGCCTAGCAGTGCCTGGCACACCGCAGGCAGCTAGTAAATGTTTAAAAAATTCCATCTCTCCCTCACCTCTTCTCCCTTTGCTTTTTCTTCTGGATCCCTTTCCCATTTCTTTTTTGTTCCTACCTGTCCATACCAACCACTCTAGATTTCCGCCTCTGGAGGAGGACAGAGTATCTCTTACGTATTTGTTTGGTTTTACTTTGAAGGGGATTTTTTATGTTTTGTGGATAGGGATTGAGAACAAAAGAATTTGGTAAAGCTTTTAAAAGCCTGGAATAGAACTCTGGTTCCATGTGGGTGTTTAACAAATATTTAGCATTCTTTCATCCAGGGAAAACAGGCTGAAAGACTCCTGCTATTGTCCACAAATGCTTTATGATCACAGCCTAGACCTTCAGTCCTACATCCAATTTACAGTTACTAGCAGGGTAAACAGCTACTGATGGTAAAAGAGCTCTGACAAGTCTTTCCACTACTCAGGAAGCTGCAGAGCCCTCAGAGGGGCAGGCCCTGGAGTCACAAAGCCTGTGTCCAAATCCTGCCATTAACAGTTCTATGAACTCTCTGTGCCATGATTTCCTCATTTGGAAAATGGGAAACAACAGAATGCACCTCCTAAGAGTGGTGTGAGGATTGAGTTAGCACAAGGGCAAGTGTTGATATGTGTTAAGTCACCGTCATGATTATCCACCTTGCCAGGTCAGGCACCAAATTTATAGACATGAAAAACTTTTCAACTGGACAGAACTGGATCCACAGAATCTTGACCGACACTGGCTTACTAGTCAAACTGGACAAATCACTTCAACCAAATCCTAGTTTCCTTCAATGTAAAATGGGGGGAGAGGGTGCCATCATTGACAGGGCCATTGCAAGATTGTTACATATCACAAAGTACCAAGCACATTTAGGTACTTATCACTGTGAGTCCTTTCTTTCTGGTTGGCCAAAAAGAAGCCTTTTAATGGACTGGGACCTCCTTCCTACTCCTTTCAGTTCCATGACTTGACTATCTGAGACAAATTCTCTCCCAGAGCCCCAGTTCCTGAACAGAGTTAATTCTACCTGCTGCCTGATAACGGCCATGATGCAGAGGACACATGTGCCCTGCTAAGGTTATCACTCTGGTTATTATTGGCGTTGGAAAATAATTGCTCCCACTAGTTTTGTCAGCCACTGGGATTCACATTCCTTTAAGAGAAGGCTTACAGTTCCTGCAGGGTAAATGGTCCACACCTGTGCTTCACATCGCACCCAAAACAGGTGGCTTCCCACTGTAATTCAGATCTCTGTGAGGCAATCATTTTATGTCCGAATGAAGGGAGTCAAGAAAGAGTCTTCTGGAACTGCCAACATGTGCCGCTGGGAGACTTCTGTAGCTTTCTCTGCACTGAGGGCTGAGCAGGCCCAACCCTTTCTAATTGGAATAATCAGATAGGCTCACAGCCAAAGTTGCTACAGACATGCTGCTGTGTCCATCCAGAAACTGCAGGACTAATTCTCAAACCCTTTGATAAAGAATTTTAGAGAAATCAAAGCAGAGAAAAAAAGCTGAATTTCTATCAACTTGTAGGGTGGCATCTAGCTTTCAAGTGGACATGAAAGGCCATCTAGGATGAAGTAGAAAGAGGAGGAAGATCTAGAGTCGGCTTTAAATCATAGCTTTGCTACTTTAAAGCCATTTGGACAATTTACCTGACCTTTCTGCCTGTTTCCATGGTAGGAAAATGGACACAGTAAAAGGAATGTTGGGAGGGCTACACAAAACAATGTATGAAAAGCACCCAGGCCAACGCATGGCCTCTCAGAAAAGCTGAGCACTGTGCATACATGTTTCTTGTGGTACTTCCACCACATTCCACCTTTGAATACAAGTGAATGAGTACATAGCTTGTCCCTCTTCTAGATTATGATCTCTTTAGGGGCAGGGCAAAAGGCATTATAGTATAGTGGTCAACAGCCCAAATACAAACCTGAATTCAACCCTCTCTGAGCCCTGTCTTCACCTGTAAAATGGAAATTACTAGACATAATGGATTCCATAGGATTGCTGAGTGGATCCTGTGGGATAATACAAGTGAGACTCTTAGCGTTGTGCCTAACCCATAGTGAGTGCTCAACAAACGGTAGTGATTATTACTATTTTTCCCAACCCTGTGTCCCTTATAGCTGCTAATGACATCTGGCTAATAATACCTGTTGGTCTGCAGGTATATGAAGCTGAGACATTGCCCCACCCACAGAAATCCAGAAATCTTAAGTACTAAGATGCCAACGAAAAGGATCCCCTACCTCTGGAATATTTCTTGCAGCGTTTCCCGGGTGAAGGCATTGCCGTCCTGGAAGACGTTGTTGAGGGCATGGAGGGCACAAAGCTCCCTGCGCTGTTTCTCATGGTAGATTTGTGGGGGTGCCGCCTGGGGCAGCTCCAATGATTCAGATTTGGCCTTGTCTCCTTTCCATGGCACGCAACTCATGTTTTTTTCGTTTTAGGTTCCAGAGAGGGCTAAAAACACCCCCACCCTCCCCTCCTGAGGAAGAATGTAATCTTCTCAGTCTTTTCAGGGTTCCTGAGGTCCACCTTATTCTCTAGTGCCCGTGATTTATGCTTTGTCACTGGGAGAAAAGGTTGGAATCAAAAGAAAAAAAAATCCATTTGTCTCTTCTCAATGGAAAAATAACTCTTGGATTAGTTTATTTCGCTACCACTGCCAAAATGCAGACTTCAAAAAAAAATCATATAAAATCTAAGACTTTGTTTCTCTTCTGCCACGTTACCCTCCCACTCCCCTTCAAAAACCACGATTTTCTTGTTGTTTTCCTCTCTGCAAATGCCAACCAGGCCTCAAAGCAAGCGGACTGAACGGAATCGGTCACATCGCTCCTTTTCTTCCATTTCTTTCGAACCACAACACCACTGACCTAGCAGGCAAGGCCTAGGTGGTGGATAAAACGCCAAATCCGAGCAGTTAGCGGGGGTCGGCCAGCGTGGGGTCGCGGGCCGCGCTGGGGCATCGGGTGCGGCTCTCCATCTCCGCGGGCGCAAGGCGGAGGCCGAGGCGGGCGCGGCTCCGTCGGAAAGCGTGAACTCTCGCCCCTCGCCGAGGCCCTGGGGAGGAGACAACTCCAGTCAGCACCGGCGGTCCATGGCGCCGCCTAGGGCTAAGCTGGCCGGGGAAGCGGCGCGGGAGGTCGGGCCCCTGCGTGAAGTAAGGTCCCACGCCGCGGCGGGCAGGCCCGCGAGGGGTGGGGCCGGACAATTCGCCTCGCCCTCTGGGCCGGGGCGCGAAGGGACGGCCCCCGCTCGCCGTCCCCACCCAGCTTCCCTACCCGTCACGTGAGTGCAAGCCGAGGCGCCC